GAAGCAAGAGGTGGTCTACGGGATCATACGCTCCTGCACCGAGTAGACGCCCTTCTCCATTCGTCTACCATCAGGGTCAAGAATCATTTCAATCTCCTCACCAACCTCAAATGTCATCCCGACATTCTTCACCAACGATATCTAATCCCCACTTGCCTCTCAACATGGTCAACTTACAGACGCAACAACATCCATTTATGATGGCCAACAACCTAGCTTATCAACGGAATAGTATGCTTTTACCTTCTCATTCATACCATGAGCCCCATCAATTTGACACACCACCTCCTTTACTTTGTCACGGTCTCTTCCGCATGCTTCAAAGTAACGCAGATCCACATGCATTACATACTCATTACTCTGATTTGAGTGATCCCCCTGATCTTTACGCGTCCTTACATGAAGAGCAGTTGGCACCTCCGCCAGAAGATATGAACCCATCGGATCCTGATCTCATTCCTCACGAGCAAGAACTACGCTTTGACGGAGATTTATACACACCAAGATGGGTGCGGGGCCATGGAAACAAGAGAGAAGGATGGTGTGGCATTTGCAAACCAGGAAGATGGCTCGTACTGAAGAACAGCGCATTCTGGGTATGTATTCTCCGGCGCTTTAGGCCAAAGTTTTCTTTCAAACCCAACCGTTACTAACATCTGACCTACAGTATGATAAAAGTTTCACACATGGTATTTCAGCCGCAACTGGACAGCCATTTCAAGAGCCGCAAGAAACGCGACGCATGGACGGAAATCCCGATGTATGGGAGGGTCTGTGTGGAAGCTGTAATGAATGGGTGGCTCTAGTCAGTAGCAAGAAAAAGGGAACCACTTGGTTCCGACATGCTTACAAAGTAAGTTTCATATCTTCTCACCTCAAGAGTCCGAGCACACACCGTATTTCATACTTCATATCGGAGAATTTGGAATCAGTGGGTTCTTGATAATTTCTGGCCCTATCAATTAAAATGAACTGGAGACTAATATGAATAATTAACAGTGTCACACTCATCCGAAGATTAAAGATGCACCGAAACGCCGACGTGAATCTAGCCACTCTCGTGCACTCGGCGCTTCGAATATGGCGAAATCAAAAGCTCACGATTCTATTACTTCGAATCCGCACCAATCTTCACCAATGACACCTAGTGTTACTTCGACACCTCGATATCAGAGGAAGTCAGTTTTAGGTAGTCCGATAGATGGCTTGAGTCCTATGATATAATGATTTTCGTCTTCTTCTCCATCTACCAATGTTCTCCTTTCTTCTTATCCGCGAGTTTGTGTTTACATGATTTGATTTGGTGTACATGATGAAAGACTTTTTATTTTCTATTTTTCTTCTACTTTCTTTGAAACACATACTATACTCTTTTATTTGATCGCTCTTATTTCTTTTATTTTGACAACAGAGGAGAAAGGCAGACAAGCATCTAAGAAGCAGGAGACAACGAGATTTTTAGTTACAGATCCAGTAGTAAGGCGCCGGGCGGGATACCATGCATCTTTATTCTCTCACTTATTTCATTCCACTTTCGTTTTGGGAGCACGGTTGTTGGGTCGGGGATTGGTTGGCGGGATGGTCCAGGAAAGGTATGGCGGATGCAGGACAGACAAGCTAGGGAAAGGAAAAGGAACACTTGGACTTGGGGGACAAAAACGGCTTTCTTTCATATTCACAGTACAAGCTTTATCGCAAGCACAAGACGAGTATCTGCAGGCAGGCGTGTGTTATGATTTTACGAGAAAGGAGAAAACAGACGGGGAATGAAGATGCAGAAAGAGTGAAGATTAGGGAGGCGAGAAAGGCAAAGGCAGGCGCAAACAGAAGAGGAAAAAATAATTGGGTTGGGGACCGGTTTTGTCTTTGGGGATTTCATTGAGATGGGAATTTTTCTGGGTGGGCGGTATATAGCATCATGTAGGTTAGGTTAGGTAGCATAGCGATGGGTTTGATAGAGTAGAGTCCTATCATGAGATTTGAGCGCTTGCATGCAACATGAGCGGGCGCGAGGCAGACAGCCAGGCGTGCAATGGCCAATTTAGTTTAGGAGTTTGGAACATGAAATAAGAAATATACTTTTAAGTTTTCTATATCGAGTCTCAACTTTCTGCATGTTGAATGTTGTACAGTGGATGTTTGAAACTTTGAATAGATAGATAGATGGAAATGACAGAATCAGCTAGGAGATTGTTTCTCAAATTCTAATTCTATGATCTATGAGTAAAATCTAATTTGCATACACTGACTGACTGTCACCGACTGCACTTTCCTTCCCATCGTGTTACCTAATTCTCGATCGTAGATACTAAGATACGATATCCCCCTCGCTCTCCTTTCTAATCGCATTGCTTTTTTCCACTTCAGCTACCGACCCAGCACACTCAGCTTTTCCCAATCGAGACATCGAGACATCAAGATACCATGTATATATGTATATATTTATATGTATATATGTATGACTCGCTTGTATGCGAAGGAATAATACCAGAAATACTATACTTTATCGTTCCTTCGCTGGGGTATACCAGGCAATAGGAATAGGAACTGGGAAGGGGAGCAGGGACAAAACTCGGGGTATCGGGCAGGGGATTGGTGGAGAGGAAAGATATGGTGAGTGTTGGTTTTTGTTATTGATGTCTGCCTACCTATAATACCATGGCGATCTAGATGTCATGATCGAATGATTTTATTGATGAGGTATTTGTGATATCACATGATGAGCTGACTATATGGTTGTGTTGGTAGGTATCTAGTGAGCAGACGGGCCGTAGCATTACTGGGTGATCTTGGGATTTGAGATGGGAGGGTCTGGATCGTAGGGCTTGCAATGATTCGGGGTTGTGGACGATGATGGATTTTCGGATTTAACTGATCAACTTGTTGGATGCTCACACGTGTTCTGCTCGTATGTACTAATAGTTAATGTCATGTATTGTGTTTTTAGAGGCCCGTATGACTATCCCGGATGGCGAATAGTGGATAAAGGAAGTGCTATTCATCGGACGCGTATAATATGTTTCTAAATGTTTGGTGTATTTTGTTAGGGTGTCTGAGGTTTAGAATAGTGCTTCGAAGAAGCGCTTAAATGATAATAATGAAGATACTTGAACTCGTTAGAGTGTATGAAGTTAAGATTTTAGACTGTGTGGTTGTTAGATAGAGATTGGAGAATGAAGGGACTTTTTTCTTTCGTCTGAAAATTCCACGGGTTCGGGGTTGGTACGAGTCGAGGGCGAGTGCGAGGAAACTGGACGCGTGAAGTGGATGGAGTGGGTTGGGGTGAGTTTGAGAGGTTATGCCGTTAGTAGTGTGTGTGGTATGGTTGAGGGATAAGGGTGTAAGATATGGAGGTGGTTGGCGAGGTTGGTAAGTCGGAATGGTGGGATCGGTGGTGATAGGTAATGGGGGATCTTAGCAGGAATATGGATATAGGGCTTAGAGTAGTCGGATCTTGGAAAAGTGGATAATGTAGAACACATTTAGCTGGAAAGCTAGAAGAATTCGGAAGAGATGGCGTAATACAGGGTTTGAAGCAGCCGGACTGAAACTATCGTAGATGTCCAAGAGAACTCAGAAATGGTACGAAAGACAGGGTGTGAGATGTGCTATACGCTAGAAGAGTCATAAGGCGGGATAGAAAGTCTCGATAAGGAAATGGAAAACAGGGGACGAAGATTTCTGGAGGGATCGAGGATGGCGAAAAAATAGTCATAGTAATCGTGCAGGGAAGGAAGATGGGAAAGTGATATGGAGATTTATGCGTTGTGCTGGTGGGTAAGATATCTTACAGTACCGTGAGATCCGGAGAAGGATGTGAGTGTGGATCATGGGATGAAAGCGGGATGGAGGATACGGAACAGATGCAAACACTTCAGATAGAAGAAGTAACGTCCCAATTGTGTGGTTCATATTGAGAACATATAGATCAAGGTATCTTTTGACGTTGGTTGTAGTTAGACGGCTCGTGCGGTGGAGTAAAGTCGTGCCGATGGTTCACCGAGAGAGAATCAATGAAGGCGCTAGAGGTGTGTAGACTTGGACGTCAATTCATGCGTTAGTCGAGATGAGTAAACAAGCAATTTATCGTGACGAATCTCGCGAAAGTTCGATGGCTCCTGTGCCGTTTTATCATGAGAGTTGTATATCGTTTGTTTAGATATCGGATACGATAGAGGAGCGGAAGTTATGGATTGGAGCGAGGGCTTAGAAGAAGTGATCATTAGATAATCAGGACAGAGCTTGTAATTGGGAAAAGGCGTATTTCCTCCAGATTGGACATAGATTCGCGAAGGCGCTCTTAGGTGCATTAGGCTGTTTTCGAGAAAAGGCAAAAGGAAGCTTTGTGACAGCATTACAATGGCGATGGACCAATGACTCAGTTGCCCCTTTCTTGGAATGAAACTGGCGATGACAGTACGATTGTCTGAGGTCAACATTGCCCAAGTATTCAAAACGATTGTTGTTTTCAGTGGAAGTATTTTAGTTACTTAAGTAGATGAGACAAGCCTGATGTTGGGCGACTGTTGTTCTAGAGATGGGGTATGTAGCGCATCGTGAAGTCTTTTCGAACAATTACTTAGTAAAGAAATCTCAATCCCTATTGTATCTCAGTATAAGACACTCCAATCTCTATCTATCCACTCAATCCTTCTACAACAATATTGTTATTGAGCATCGCAAACCTATAGAGCTTGATGACCTCTCCTCTCCTCTCCTGTTACCTTTGTTGATTTCTTATATAATGTTAATCGTGGATTACATTATTGTAAATCATAATCGTCCTCTCAAGAGTGTGAGAATGATCTCAACACTCGTTGGCCGCTCCGGTCAGGTATATAAGTCGGTTCGTGTTATCTACAAACACCTAAACAAAGATCCGGAGTTCAACATCCATCTGACCTCTGGGTGAGTTCCGAGATCATAATTTGGCGTGCTTCTCGTTGCAAAGATGGCCAGCTGTACCAGGCTGATCTGCATGAGGCTGTATAAAGGACAATATGGCCTTCGTATTGAAGCCTGTTGCCCGCTCGATATTTGAGCATTCGCGAGAGCTCAAAAAGGAATCCGTCGAAGTTCGTCAAATACGACATCGAGTAGAAGAAGACAAGGAGAACCGAGTACTTGTCTACGTTTATGCCACATCCAACGTGCTTGAAATGATAAATGACTGTCCTCCTCTTCCTTTGCAAGCAAGAAAGGCCATCCTCAAAGAGCTTGGCCTGGCATTGAAAGATATGCACGCGAGAAATTGGATACATATTGGTTGGCTATCTTAATCCATTCCCAACTTTTGCCCAGAGCTCTCTCCTGACCTTATTCGTATACTCTAGATGTGAAGCCCGACAACGTTTTCATAGACCGGTTTGTTAATATGGAAACCAAATTTTGCCTTGAAAAGGTGCAATTGGGCGATTTAGATGGTGCTTTGTACGTCACAGACACGCATCTTCTAAACCATAAGATAGGAAAAGTGATGTGGCAAAGTCCAGAAGGTCAACTGGGGAGGGGAATGGGGAAGCATTCGGAGGTATTTTCTCTTGGACTTTTGGCAAATCAAATTCAATCCTTACAGAGTCCCAGTTTCCAACAACATGGCTCTTTTCAGTGTCTTTTCGTGCTCACAGGGGTTGAATCCTTTCACCTCGATTTTGATAGTCTATCTGTAGAATTGGAGCGGGTGATCTTGGGCAAGTTGCTTTCGAACTTTGGGCCGCTTCCGGATGCGCTTGCAAAGCATGTGGATGATGAGAAAGCAGGCGAGCTCTTGGAGGATCTTTGGAAAATGATTGAAGAGAATGAGGAGCGAGCTGAAGAGTATGAACCTTTTGGGCAATGGACTGAAGCTGATTATCCCAATCTTGATAATGATGCAAAGAGATTGATACTCAGAATGACGAATTTACACCCCGGGAAGAGGGTGGAAATGGTTGATATCATGACAGATCCTTATTGGGACGGGGTTGGATCCATGGGTCTTTTTGGTACCGAAGAATGTTTTGAAGATGATGCCAATCAAAAATCTAACCCAAGAGAAAGAGACGACATGAGTACTTTGTGGCAAATGTTTGCAACCTGAGAACATAAAAAGTACCTTTAATGACTACCATTTGACAATGGACGTCGTATGGAATAGCGGAGTACCAACCATTTACCTAGGTACTCACCTCATAATCCTACGCTGCATTGGAGTGTGTGTACTAAACATGTATTAATACCACGAGAGATACTCAAACTTCAGGAGCGTTCTGAACTGGAGGAATGGCCCGTCGATAAAAAAGACAGTTCCTGTGAACATGATGTCCGCGAATATGGAAACCTCAAAGTCCAGAGAGCAGAACATAGCATGCCATCTTGTACTCCTCATCTACCACCAGACAAGAGTGCTTTATGAGTTTCCTTTCAGTATTTGCAGCGACCTTGTCTTCACTCTGAGGTTTTATTTCACAGATGCTGTTAGTCTAAAAGCTCCTCTAAATATACACATGCATCACCTCCCTCTCTCACGTCTGAACTCAATCGAACTTACATACCTCACCATAACATCCTGCATGAATGTATTTGACATCGCACCCACAATCGTCAAATATGTGTAGCCAACATGACCAGCAGCAAATGGGCGTTTATCCTGATACTCAATATCTGTTGCATCGCAGATATAGTATTTGGCCCGTGGAGAAGCTGGCTCACTATTGGTATAGAGAAGAATGGTGTAGAGTACGAGAAGCTTGGGTACGCAGCAAGTTGTAAATAAATATCACCAATCACGATATGAGATGTTGGAGATTGGAGATTTGGAGATTGGAGATTTGGAGATTGGAGATTTGGAGATTTGGAGATTGGAGATTGGAGATTGGAGATTTGGAGATTTGGAGATTGGAGATTGGAGATTGGAGATTTGGAGATTTGGAGATTGGAGATTGGAGATTGGAGATTTGGAGATTCATCAATAATTGTCCCTCAAAAGACAGCATAAACTGATTGGACGGACATTCAGGGCCGTTTAATGATGATGATAATAATAATAGTAATAATAATAATAATAATAGTGATAATAGTAATAATAGTGATGATGGTGATAATGATGATAATGGTAATGATGGTAATGATGGTGATGATGGTGATAATGGTGATAATAATGATAATGATAATGATAATGATAATGATGGGTTGCTAGGTACCTGTATCTCTGGAGCACAGGCCGATGTCGAAGTGCCAAGGCGCCATTTCAAAGTCAATACAACACAACGATTGTACCTAGATACTCGTAGATAGCTCGTAATTACAGACGGAGACAACATGATCTATTCGCGTGATGATTTTATATTCTTTTCTTTTCTTATATCTACATCTCTACATCTATGATATAATTATAATTGAACTATCCATCCCATCGTTATATTCATCCGCTCTCTCGTCTCACGGTAATGTGTAATCTTTGATTTTTATCCATTCATTTGCTCCTCTCAGCCCAGATCCTTCACACACCCCCTTCCCCCCCCAACTTATCCGGCTCAAACGCCCCGGTCATATCTCAGAACGGGAAGGAAACCCCCTTCGTTCGCTCGGTCGAAAAAAGTTTCCTTGATTTGTCTCCCACTACTTTCTCTTCACTCTCACGCCGTCTTTGCACTATTCACACTATTTTAATTTGCTTGCGTCTGGTGTTGAATTGGCCCAGCAACACTCCATTTCTATACCGCCATCTTCAGCATTTCCGACCAAAGAAGGCTTGCCTCCACTTTCATTTGACCATCTAGACACTTGAAGATCTCCAACATACCTCCTACATAGGTCTTGGTGTTTTCCGTACGGTGCTATCCCTCGAGCAACCCTATAGACCAGAGCTCTACTAATTGTAATGTTTTACAACCATCGCTAATGAAGCTCGTTATGATCTTGTACCTTCTATTTGAGCAAGAGATCTTCCCTAGATTGGATTGGACAACCCTTGTATGACTCTGACACCGACTTCAGAGCACCTGAAGTAGCTACTGTAGCGAATTGAGAGTGGATATACCTTCCGGTTGCCTGGAACAATCCCCGCTATTTTGGTAGCTGGAGTAGACGTCTCAATTTCGACCTCTGACCTCAGATTTGGCATCTTTCTTTGAAAATATCTGTTGTTGTGGCAATTGTCTGTTGATTGTTCTGGTGAGTACTGACGTTATCTACTATTCCCTTCTTGAATACCCCCCAGAATCTTTGCTGACCACATGTGAAACCAGCTTCAAGAAAAATCAAACAGATATACATCTTTGCCATGCTGTAAATTATTCACGCCCTCGATACCAATAGTGCTTTGCAACTATATCGAGTCCTTCCCATCGAGTTATCTTCAACTGCCTCTGCAACAAGTTTCGGGAACCCATCATTTCGGGAGCGGGCGGCTGGCTGCGGGTAGATCAAGGAGGATTACATTTGCTAAGCAAAACTCAAAGAGCTCCACTTCGCAGAAAAAGTCTTGTTATCAGGAAATATCTTTTATCAATTGATAAAGGCTTTGGGTTTTTGGAGTGATTGGATCAGAAGTCATATCAACAAGAGGATTGAAACACTGGGGTCTGAATGTATGCAGTATAGAAGGAGGCTGGCCAGACTTGATTCTCGAACCCCATTTCAAAAGGGCGGACGGGAGGAGTTGCAATGAGTTGGGAGCAGCAAGCAAGTTATGAAGGGAGCCAGGGAGGATGGACCCCACAATTTGCAGAAGATTATTCTATGTTCAACGCAACACCTGGGCGTCTCGTCAATGGGCAACGGCCGTTTGTTGATACTTCAACAGCTCAAGCACTGTCATCCCTGACTCACAATGGACATTATAGTGTTGAGGGAGATATGGTGACAGATATGGGAATGCACATGCATCAATTGTCACCAAATTCTGGGTTTGCAATAGCTCATACCACATCCCCCAACAAACAGATATCTGCTACTACTGTCCCGCAACCTGCTTCCAGAGCACGATTTAGTGATGTTTCCAAGACCCCCCAAAAGTCAAAGAAAAGGTTGGATGATCCTTTCAGTGGTCAAACTGCTACACCTCCACATTCTATTGGAAAAGGTACTAGGAAATTAGCCCCAAAAATGTTCAATGTATCGAATAATGCTCCAGTTCAAGGTAATCGCTTTGAGTCTTCTGACTCAAATAATCACCTCCCTCAATTGGTAGCACAGTCCTCAACAGCTATGGATCCATTCGGTTATCCAATAACTGCACCAGTATCAACCCCATTCTTTGCAAGTAATAAAGCAATATGGGATACTAGTATGGATGGTATGGATTTGGATTTCTCAACCGATTCAGCGGGTATTTTCCAACAAGGTCATAGGGCAAGCAATTCTATTGATTGGGGACGAAACAACCAGATGTTTCAAGAATCAGTGAATCCATCGCCTCAAAAATCAAGCGCATCCAAAGTTGAAGCTGAACCCCGCAAACGACATAGACAGATAGCCTCAAAAACTTCCTTACCAATAACTTCAGCACTCCCCACGTCACTTCCACTGTTAGCTTTTAGTAGTGCGACAGCAACCTCGAATTCAATAGCGATGGAGAATTTTCATGGCGTGGTCGATCCTGGTATAATATACAGTCGCCCTAGTACAGGCAGTACGTCCCAAGGAGGATTAGAAAATATGACCTTGCCAGAATCAAGAGCAACTACTAGTCCGATGCGAAATCTAGAGCAACTCGAACCGTATCAACATCAAGTTCGAGAATATACACGCGAGCAAGAAGAACTTCGTCGATCAAGAAGTTTCAGAGAGGGTAGTATGGGGTATCGAATAGATAGGAGAACTGCTAGCTCGCCAGTCAAGGGGTCTGTACGGGCTGGTACTCGACGGAGTGTCAGTGAGAGTAATAGGGATCAACGTCGTAGTGGTATAGTTCGGATATTCTTATTCCCTGATTTCAAGCTAACATTCTCGACAAGAACCACCACGCTTTAACTCGGGACGTTTATCTCCTGTGAAACAGCAGCGTCATCCAAATCTTACTTCTATTCCTGAATCTCCAGCTGTATTACCAAAACTTCGACGAGATGTCAAGCTCGCCATTGGTAGTAATGGTCGAGCTACTGTTGTTGTTGACGATGAATCGGTGAGAAGTTTGCGACGGTCATCATCTCAAGTCATCGATTATGAGTCAGAATATGATTCTTCTACTGATGACGAACCAATCATCATTCCAAGTCGAAACAACTCTTTCAATCTACCTCAGCAGAAACCACCCAGATTTGATCTATTCGATGCTTCCTCTAGTGACTTTCGCAGACCAAGCACAAGTACAAGCGGCTATAGTCGGTCCTCGGGTCAGCACACGAGCATCGATGAGATGAGTGAGGCAGAAACGGTACTTGATGAGCTCAAGATCGGAGATGCAGCTTCTGCTTTGCGGAAGGTGGTCAGAGAGCGTCGAAGTAATCAACAAATGTCAAAAAATGGAAGACATCTCCGTCTGTACTCCGATACAACCCCTCGACCAGGTCGCTACGCAGAATATACTTCGTCTTCTAACAATTCTCCCGATGGAGCAACACCATCCAGCTCGAGGAGTGGTACTACTCGGTGTATCTGTAATAATGCGGAGGGGGACTCTTTCATGATCCAATGGTGAGTTTGCCACTACTGTTACAGCCTACGTTGTCTAATTCGTTTCAAGTGAGTCTTGTGAGAATTGGCTTCATGGACAATGTGTCAATATCCCAGATCGAAGGACACTACCAAAGGTTTACATATGTGCCTTTTGTGCCCTAACACCAAACATGCGGAACGGTCGTGTGCGAGAGTCTGCAAGAGAGAAGAGGGGTCTGCCTTCTTCTCCTCTTGCCCACAAATCTTTCAGATCATTTCGTTGATTAAACATCGAATTGATATATTACATGTCAAATTTGAGATTTGGAGCTTGATGGATCATAATTTTAAGCTTCAGCCTTTTTTTACTTTACCTTTGGTTTCTACTGCCACCGGAAGAAACCCCATCAGATGGAGGATATTTTTCAAACTTTCTTGTTTTTAACACCTCTCTACCACCAACGTTTTTTTTACCTGTTTTCTTTTGTCGACACAGATACCCCCGTTCAAAGAGCATATACAACACAGATCAAAGTCACTATGCATGATTCCCAAGATATAATACAAGAATAAGATTTACGACCGAAAAGAATGGGGGAAGGGCAAAAGGGGAAAGGGGAAAAGGGAAAGGATAAAGCGGAGTTGGGATTGATTATTGCAGTATGCATGGAGAAGTGCAATGATTTAAGGATTCTTTGGATGCTTAGCAATAACACAAAACAAATGCATACATATATATATACACCTTAACCTACCTGATATTCATCGAGCTCGTATATAGATTGTCTAGACGTTTTCCAATAAATGTCCAGTAGTCAGCCTATGTACATGCTGGATCGGATGAAGAGCATCTGAATTTTTGAATATATCTGAATTTCAAAGCTCTTCATGTTTTAAGTCCATTCGAATGATTCAAACTCAATTTCTCTAACAACATGTAGAGAAACAATCGTGTTGTCCCTAACCTCAAATCATCCAATCACCACCTACCCATATTGACGACGTCCCGATTTCCGAGTTCGGGCGTGGAGCTTCACTCCGAAGTCGGACTTAGTGGGGGCGGGGCATTCAATAAAGTCATTCTTGTTCCCCAAACATTTTCTCGTCCCCAAACAACACAATTCAATCATTCCTCTCTTCTTAAATACCCATTGTACTTATAATTGTCGAATATTCATTAAAGGACACTTCTCACTGCAAAGATGTCAACTCATAATATTGTGGTTTTTGGTGGTGATCACTGCGGTCCTGAGGTATGTTTGTTTACTTGTTGCTCTAATACCTGTTTGTGGAGAGAATACGGGGTTGGAAATTGTATTGCACAGCCATTCAAAGCTTCAAATTCAACAACTGGAGAAGGAAACTTGCTAATTAACTCTTCTAATTAGGTTGTAGCGGAAGCTATCAAAGTCCTGAAAGTTGTAGAAAGCGATAGACCATCAGTTGGAAAGTTCAATTTCCAAGAACATCTCTTGGGTGGTGTAAGTCTCCACACTTAAGCTCCTTGGCTTCCAAGTCTCATACTTACAACTCATCCCCAATACAGTGCTCAATTGATGCCCACGGTGAGCCTCTCACAACCGAAGCTCTCGAAGCTGCCAAAAACGCCGATGCCGTTCTTCTTGGCGCAATCGGTGGTCCAAAATGGGGAACCGGAAAAGTACGTCCTGAGCAAGGAATCCTTGCTCTCCGTAAACAAATGGGCACATACGGAAACCTCCGACCTTGTAATTTCGCATCACCTACCTTGACCGAGATCTCCCCATTGAAAGAAAAGGTCTGCGAAGGCGTCGATTTCTGCATTGTGCGAGAATTGACCGGAGGCATTTACTTCGGAGAGAGAAAGGAGGACGACGGAGATGGAAAGGCTTGGGACACAGAACCATATAGCAGAGAGGAAATCGAGCGTGTGACAAGATTAGCAGCAAATCTTGCCCTTGCGCAAGACCCCCCAGCACCAGTTTGGAGTTTGGACAAGGCAAACGTTCTCGCGACATCGAGGTTATGGCGTAAAACTGTCACCGACGTCATGGCTGCGGAGTTCCCACAATTGAAGATCGGACATCATTTGATTGATAGTGCGGCCATGTTGATGGTAAAAGACCCAAGAAAGTTGAACGGTATCGTAGTGACGAGCAATTTGTTTGGAGATATTATCAGTGATGAGGCCAGTGTTATTCCTGGTAGTATTGGACTCTTGCCAAGTGCAAGTTTGAGTGGTGTCCCAGATGGAAAGAGCAGGTGTAATGGTATTTACGAGCCAATTCACGGTATGTTTCTTTGCCGCTTGTTGTTTTACCTCCTTTCCATCATTATTCCATGTTCAGATCTAACAATTTCCTCTAGGCTCCGCCCCAGACATCAGTGGCAAGGGCATCGTAAACCCCATTGGTACCATCCTCTCCGTGGCCATGATGCTCAAATATTCTCTCAACCTCCCAGTCGAAGCCAAAGCCGTCGAAGAAGCTGTCCGCAGAACTATCGAGAAGGGAGTCAGAACCGCCGACATCGGTGGCTCGAATAAGACTGTTGAGGTTGGTGACGCTGTTGTTGAGGAATTAAAGAAGGTCTTGAAGGAGCTTTAAATGTATTAAAAAGGGAATTTACCAGAGTCATAGAGTATACCTGGCATTACAGAATCTGTCATCATACAATGGGTCATAATCGCAATCGTATACGAAAACGAACGATATTGCTTATGGAGTTGAAAAGTATTTAGCGGTCAAAAAGATCAAAAAACTAATCGCAATATGTATTATCTTGGTGTATTTTGTCTAGGTCTCCTCAGGTTCTCGTTGAATTTCCTACTCGTAGCACTATCCACAGTCTATCCATATCCATAGCCACCCATAACAATTTATTTCTCGCTCAATCTCGATCTCCATGTCTCATTATCCATTCCACCTTCCGGGAGACATCACTCCTCACCAAACAGCCCCTTCAATTCCCTCTTCAACTGCTCCCTACTCTCATCGACGCCACCACCAACATCATCCTCAACCTTTATACGACTCTCTTCCTTCTCTACTAGCTTCTCCTTCCCTTTCCCTTTACTATCTCCTTTTTCCAACCTATCCCTCTCTATCTTCTCCCTTTCCCTTTCCCTCTCCCTCTCCTTCCTACTCCCCACCCTACTCGCCTGTCCCCTCTCCTCCCCACTCGTCCCCCTCCGCCTCCTCCCACTCATTCTACTCCCATCCCTCGACAACCTTCCTACCTCATCCTCACTCACCCCTCTATTCCGTCTCGAGCTTCTACCACTCCCCACTTGCGCATTCGCGTCTTGTTCCACAATTGCATTTGGCGTGTGAGTTTTAGATTCATGATCAAGCCAGTTCCATTCCGTTTGAATCTGTGTTTCCGCGCGCTTTCTTTCTTTTTCTTCCTTGACGTTCTGGGCTACTTGGCCGAGACTGTGGGGGATATTGTGTTAGTATGTCATGAAGATTCTCTTCTCGAAAAAGATTCCCCCCAATCCTGAAACCCCAAACAGTTTCTTTCTTCAGAAGAAATAAAAACAACATACCTCACAGTCCCAACCCTCTGTCTCCGAATCTTCTCTACAATCCCCTCCTTCCCCCCCTCCTTCCCCGCATCCCCCTCTCTCCCTCCCCCAGGCAATATCACCCCCGACATATACTCCAAATACTCATTCCCCTTTTCCAAAAATCCCAATTTCGGACTGCGACATAAACTCGACGCATAATTACTATTATTCTTCCCGATTTCCGGGCGCGGGAAACTCTCAAACACGGAGTCAAAACTCGATTCTCCGCGTTCTCTTCTCTTTATTTCTCCTACCGATGCGCTTTCGAGAGAGGTGCTGAGTCCGCAGCAAGAGCCCTTTCGAGGTGTGATGAAGTTTGAGAGGGGGGAGTGTAGGAGGGTGGGTTTCGAGTTTGGGTGGGGAGTAGAAGAGGATGAGGAAATGTGCTGGGTTTGGAAGGGATCCGGACTGTCAATTTTGGGATAGGGGGTTAGCGGTCTCTCTGAAACGTCCCGCGGTGTGTGTTCGGGGTGTGGAATTATTCGGACTAGACCCTTAGGTTTGATACAGGCGGATTCAATAGTGCTGGAGCGGTTTGCACGACGATAGGCAGATGCGGGATGTTGATGTGGGCGGGGAAGCTTTTCTTCGATGGAGACGGAGCGAGGACGAGTGGTTTTGCATGCTTTTTGATGGGGGCTAGGAAGGGCGAGAGATGAAAGAGTTGATGCGGATGGACGTCGGGTACTATCTGATGTGCTTTCAGAGGCAGAATTGGCTCGTTCTCGGAAGGAGAGTCGATCTGGGAGTGTCAGATATCTCAAGATCGAACGTTCTAGTACATAATAATATATGAAACAGAAGAACAATAATAAAATACCTTTAGGCGTCACCTGCCCTGAATGTTCCCGAGGAAAAACCCCCGTCAGGCCCTCCTCCGTTGGACACGACGTAAATGGGCCATGATCTCCCTGACAATCATCCGAATGACTAGATGAAGCCCCATCCGCATATGCTTCTGGAAGCTTCGCTCTCGAAACCGCTGCTTGTGATTTCTTCTGACTAGTATCGCCTTCTGTTTCTTCCCGTTCGCGATGTACATTATTCGGAAGCAATGACATCCATTTTGGAAGCGGTTTGGTCTTACTAGGCACGAATGCTTGACCAGCAGGATCGTAGATGGAGACGTAGATGTCTGATGGGGGAGAGGAAGTTGATGACGATGAAGTAGATGGGTCGGCTTGGCCGAAATGGGCGGGTTCAGTATCGCTGTGGGAATGGGTGGAGTCGTCTGGGTTTCCGTCTTCGGATACACCCATTTTGGCGGCGTCACTTAGGAGTGCAACTTCTTCCTTTTGAACGGTGTTAATATGAATGTTCAAGACTAGACTGAATTGGACTGGGACACATACCTGAGGAGTAGAAGAATCCCGTATGATTTTTCTGATCTTCCTTTCATTCATCGTAGATGATTTAGATGATTTGTCCGTCATACTCGTCGGCGAAACACTAGAAGATGGCGAAGTTGGAGAAGGCCCCGTTTCTTCTCTTTCTTCCCCATCTAATCCAACCACGAAATCTTTCTTGCCATTCAAATTCAGGTTCGAATTCCTTCCCAACCCCTTATCCTCATCCAATTTCTCCAATCTACATCTCGTCAACCCACCATCAGACTTCGTCACATTTTCCAATCCCCTCTCCAACACCTTCTTTTCTCCATACCCCTTAATCTTCGTCTCCGTCTCGCACCACTCGCAAAGCGGAATTTTATCCAACTCTGTTCCTTTCCTTCGATCTCCACATGCCTCCTCCCCATTATTCCCATATCTTCCCCTCCCATTCTCACACTCACTTTCACACTCCTTCAAAACTCTTTCTCCTAACCTAACCCCGCAAAGCAAACACCCAAAACATCCTCGATGCCAAAAACACCACCCCAAACTAACTACCTCATCGCCTCTCACAATGCATTCCCCACAAACCCAACATATACTTAAATCCAAAACTGCTCTCCAACATTGATGACAGACAATTCTAGATGACCGCCCCAAGACCCGTGGCGTGGAAGGTAAATATTGGGGAGACCAGCATATCGTACAGACGAAAGAGGGATCCGAGGACTTTTGGATCGTACGGAGGGCGGTTATTGTTGGGGTAAGCTGAGCGGGAGTCGGTGGTCGAGTTGGTGTTGGGTGAGTGTGGGGATGGGAAGTATGAGCATGATGAGGAACGAGAGGAGTAACAATTGGCGTGATCGGGGCACCAAGGGCTTTCGGAGAATCCGACACAGTACTTGCTAGCGAGAGGGGCGGAACAGAGATCGTATGGCGAGTGCGAGGACGGAGTTCAATGAATGTTGAAGTAGCTGGACGAGGGGTTCCTTGACGACCGGTCATATTTGTGCGTTCCAGAGGGCCGTGATTTCAAACCCGAGAGCGGTGTTGCTAATATTCTAATTGGGGTTGTATTACATATAGCGGATAGTCGAATGAATCAATAATTTGGACAATGAAACGAGAGTGCGTAGTTATAGTTCAAAGAATGAAAAAGAGTAAACGAAAGTAAAAAGGTGCCAGCATGGTGTCTCAGTTACTGCTGATTGACGCGGCCCCTATGCTAGGTATATTTGGTATATTTGATGTTGTTTAAAGAGAAGAGAATAGGAGAGGAATTCGAGAGTCAGCGTTGGAGAATCATGTCACCATTTTTTCTAGTAGGCAGGTGCGAGGGAAACTTAAAAACAAGCAGCTTTTTATTCATTTATCATTATAATTAAGAAAGAGCAACCTGGAGTTTCGACCTAACTACACAAACATGAATCATGACCTCTTGGAACTCCGTTATCGAGAAGAATAACATAATAACAGCTCCTAATGTAGTAATCCAGGCAAATCCAGCCACTATGAAACACATCCTCCAATTTGTGATGCATGAATATGCGATATTTCCAGGTTGACGCCAACCATGTACTCCAATCCTATTAGAAACAAATCCTGAACATACAAGATTCGTATGAATGTATAAACAAGAATAAATGGGCAATTGCCATTAATTAAGATTATTTAGTCGATGATAGACAGCTATCATTGACTGGAAATCGTCAAATCGATCACTTTCGGCTCTTTGGTCGTGCAAGCATGTTGAGTCGACTCAAAGTCAGGCCTCTTTTTTTGGCAGGGCTTGGGGTGGCATTCGACGAGGCAACAACGTTCTTTCCAGATTGAAGTCTTGGAGCCATTAGCATAGCGCCCTCTGGAGCCTTTTGCTTCTTTGGTGATCTTGTTTCCTCTTCGCCGTCGGACTCAACTCTCCTACGCTTCTTGTTTGACATTCCATGGGGAACAGTTGGCATAACTGAAAGGTTAGTTGATTTTTTGCTCGATTCACGAACAGGAGGGTTGGTGTTCTCCTTGTTGCCATCAGGAAAACTACCAGGCATAGCATCAGGAAATATACTTCGACGGACTTGGCGGACAGTGGCTTGATTAGGAGATGGACCAAATCCCTTTGGAGAAGCACCGAAGCTGATAGTATGATCACTGCGGAAAGTAAAGGTGCCGGGGACTGAAGGAGGAAGGTGTGGAGGAGGAGCTTGACGAGGTGGGTCTGGAAGGGGTCTAACTCCAGCGAGGGAAGGGTACTCTACTGCTTTAGTTTCAGATGTTTCAGTATCTTTTGCCTGTCCATCAGTGGGTCCTTGTTGAGATACAGGCTTGCGGGGAGCAATTGAGGAAGTGATTTTTATATTGGACTTTGATGTTGAGCGAGGAATGCCGGACTTTACTGGAGATGGAGATTGTGCAACAATAGTTTCGTTGTGCTTAGCTTCACTGTGCTTTTTTGTCTCTGGCGTGAATCCAACATGCTTCATACTCTTAGAGCGGCTGACACCAATAGGTGTTGTGGGAACAGAGGGTAGGTCTCTCGCAAGATTTGACTTGCTTGGGCTCCTAGCAATTGAAGGAATAACCGGCGCCTTTTCTGCTTTTTTTGAGCTGAAGCTGGAGCTTGTATGCTTCAAGATAGACTTCATACGGTCGAATCTGCTTGGGGTTCGGAGCATGGATTTACTTGGTGCAGTCATTGATCCAGCAATATTGTTCATTGTAGCAGACTTCAACATACCGCGGGGGGTGCTCTGCAAATTTGGTTTTGATGGCGATCTTGACAAGCTTGGTATTTGAGTTGAAGATTGCTTAACACTTTGGGCACGAGCCAAAGATGATTGTGTGGGTGTTGTCAAATGCGCAGGAATGCCGGAGATCTTGTGACGGGGAGTAGAAGGCATTGCCATCGATTCAGTCTTGCCACGAGATATTGGTCGTTGAGTGGAAGTATCATCCGTCATGCGTTGACGAGCACGCTTGGCAGGTGCAGTATTTTCAAGTCGTTCACTCTCGGCATCTTGGGAGGAATCTTCGCTAAGGGTGGCATCTCTGTCACCTAGCTTAGCCTTCGATTGTGTGCGCTTAAGAGCTTTCGCAGTAGGAGTAACTCTGCCTGGTTGAGCTCGGAAGGAGGATGGATGATTGGCGATACTGTCCATCTTTTTGAACCTGTACGAAGTTAGGGCTGTAGCTCTTCAAATATTCAATTGCTTTGGTAGATTGAATGTCCTTCAAATAATTCGAGACTTTCAAACAAAACTCACTCTGCCATGTGAACATCACTGTATCTACTAACTTTACCCTTCGCCTGCGCAATTCTTCGGGTTCCCGTTTGGCTACCCTCTGGATTGTTTCTTTGTTCCATCTCTCGCTCCGCAGCAAGTTTAGCTTTGATACGGAGGGCCTCTTCACGTAGTTCATCCATCATACGTTGAGCTTCGGGACCAAGAACAGGTGCAGGTCGAGCGAATCGAAAATCGAAAGTTGGGGAGCTGATACCAATCTTTGAGGGAGTTTTTTGTTGAACACCAGAGGGCTGGTCGTCACCCTTGGCATTGATATCAACAAAGCCATGACGGAGTCCTGAGTCGGGCTTTTGTGTGGTAGATTTATGAGTCATGGATGGATGCATTTCTTCTCTAGGTGGGACAATGCGACCGGAGGTAGCTGGTGTTTGGGGCGCTTGAACAGGAGACGAAAGGTTCGGGAGGGAAGGATAGGCAGGACCCTCATCATCTTCGGCGAGAGATGTGAGTTGGGGAGTTGTATTTTGCAGTGTCTAAAGTAAGTGATAAGTACCTAGTACATAGTCCCAACATTTGTTACAATGATAATAGGAAAGCTATACATACTTTAGCTGGAGTACGAAGTCGAGAAGAACGACGACGCGGAGGAGACGCCATAATTAATAGCGCAACAAAATCGATGGAATATCAGTCGATGGTATATCCAACAAATGTAATTACAGTGAGTTGTGAATAATCGAGTGTTCAAGAGAAGTGTCAAATTCACCCTTATCAATGACACGAATGAATTGTATCATGTACAATGTACGGTATGTTTGTAGTTGGAAGTCCAAGAATTGAATGATGAAATCGAAAACGCTAGTTATTAATAAAAGCTCTGGGGGGTTTGTTGACAATCGGGCCAGCCTGAAGAGTAAACAAGGATATAAAACGCGCTAAACTTTGATGTCACATGACACTCCGTATATTTCAGCAGAGCAAGCTCCATATGTTCACCAGTCTTCAGCCTATGACATTCTGGCGATCTATCTGAATGTGAGCAGCAGCGGGACCAGGCAGCTTGTACAGTCAAGCAATCCAAAATCTAGATCCTTTTTCGAAACACACCTCGTCCATTCACGTAGGGTACGGCATCACCATCAATTGAAGCAGATTGGGACTAGGTAGTTCTAACATACTGGGTAGTAGTTGGTAGGTAGGTACCTAGTAGGTAGGTACACAGGTAGGTAGGTAATATAATCCTCATATAGTTGTCTATTGATAATACAGTTGGCATCGGAATACAGAGACCTCCAGCAGATAACAGTCTTTGGAAGCACCTCTAGTCTTCGATATACTGAGATGTTATATCTGCAGTGTAGACATGCCTATCTAGGTAATGATATAGTGAATGAGTGACTCCCGCTTCTCTACTCCGTACAATGAAGGGGTTTATTGCAGGGTATGAAAGTTCAATGGTAATCCATACCTACTATGTACGGGTATCATAGAAGCTCTTCCATGATGATTAACATGATGATTAACTCCTTACGTAAACATTGAGAAAGGAGTGTCTGAACATGAACCGAGGTCAACAGTTTGTCACTGGTAGTGGTAATTGTTATTTGTCATTATTATCTGTACCCATTTCAGACTTCACTCAAGCCCTCACTCAATCTAGACCTCACTCTATCTTTCATTTCAGACTTCACTCTAACCTTCACTCAATCAAACCCTCCCTCATGACGGTATCTCGGATCCCTATTTTGCCTCCGAAGAAAGAAGCTTGGGCCATCTCCAATCTCCATCTTTCCCAAAACAGCTCTTCTTCGATCATCAATGCAAGATGCACGCACGACAAGGATCAATTCTTCTGAACGGAATCTTCACATCCGAATGACACGATAATTTATACTTTGCGGTGCCTCTTTTGGCTCTTATATGACGATTTAAAGTTGTCAAGATATATCTTGAAAATCTTACTCCTCAACCTTCGCTGAGTGTAATTTCTGAATACTTCGACAATTCACATTTCAGAAACTTCTCAACCAGCACATCCTGAGTGAAAGCTTCACAACTTCTTCAACATGGCTCCCAAGAAGACCACGGTCTCTAAAGTAGCTGAGCCTCATGGGTATGAGTTTGGTGGACCGTAAGTAGCTCGTTTCAACTGCAGGCTCATCGACATGTACTGATTGTCTTGCAGATTAGGAGCTTTCGGTATATCTTTTGGATTACCCCTTCTTTGCTATGCGACGACCTTTCTCTGCAATGACATTTCCGGCTGTCCAGTTCCCTCTTCGCTCTCTCCTTCGACGCTCACAATCAACAATCTCAAACAAGAAGTAGGATGGCCCGCAAATGGACTTGCGGGCTTGTTAAGTTGGGATGTGTTTCTCAAAGTAGTAGGCTACTACTTTCTGAGCATGGTTTTACACAGAGTTTTGCCAGGTGAAGAGAAGTTAGGTGTCGAACTGGCAAGTGGTGGAAAGCTCAAGTACAAGTTCAATAGTATGTACCTACACGATCGAATGAATGGTACAGCGTTTTGCTAACGAATCGCGCAGCTTGGTCTTCTACCATGTTTACATTTGCTCTATGCGCTGCAGGAACTATCGCCCAAGGAGCAGACTTCCCAGTCTGGACTTTCATCTACGACAATTATCTACAAATACTTACAGCGAACATCATCATCTCCTACGGCCTCGCAACTTTCGTTTACATCCGCAGTTTCAGTGTTAAGCCTGGCAACTCTGAACTGCGCGAGTTGGCTGCTGGTGGTCATTCTGGAAATATGCTATATGATTGGTTTATTGGAAGAGAACTCAACCCAAGAGTGACTCTCCCATTACTTGGCGAATTTGATATCAAAGAATTCTGTGAGCTACGACCAGGTCTCATGGGGTGGCTTCTGATGGATTATGCATTTGTTGCTCACCAATACAAGACTTACGGATACATCACCGACAGTATCGCGTTGATTACAGCATTTCAAACACTATATGTACTTGATTCATACTGGATGGAAAATGCTATCCTCACTACCATGGACATTACCACAGATGGCTTCGGACTCATGTTATCATTTGGAGACTTAGTCTGGGTTCCATTCATCTATTCTCTTCAAGCTCGTTACCTCGCCGTCTACCCACTTTCCCTCGGTGTCTTTGGCACCAGCGGCGTTCTCGCAGTTTTAGCTATAGGATACTACATCTTCCGTGGCGCTAATAATGAGAAGAACCGCTTCAGAACTGACCCGACAGATCCTCGTGTCGCACATCTCAAGTACATGGAGACAAAATCCGGCTCCAAACTTCTCATTTCTGGTTGGTGGGGTGTTGCTCGTCATATCAACTATGCCGGTGATTGGATCATGGCTTGGTCTTATTGTCTTCCTACTGGTATTGCTGGTTATTTAATCAACCACAGCTCGGTAGCCCCAAAACCAGGCCAATCCCTCGCAGATGGATCTTTCGTGTACAGTGGACCAGCAGTACATACAGAAGTCACGCAAGGTGCAGCTAGGGGCTGGGGTATGATCATCACATACTTCTATGTGATTTACTTTGGAGTCTTGTTAGTGCATAGAGAAATGAGAGACGAGGAGAAGTGTGAGAGAAAGTATGGTGAGGACTGGAAGAGATACAAGGAGATTGTTAGGTACAGAATCATCCCAGGTATTTACTAGAGTAAGGGGTAAATATATACAGGCAAAGAGCATGGAGGATGAGCTCGGTAATTGCATCTTTTTATAGATGGCAATGAGGATAGGAGAGAGCGTGTACAAGTGGTGTGTACAATGTATAATAATATTTAAGTAATAATCTATGATTCTTCTTGCTACATAATGATCAATTTCATCTCTACAGAAAAACTTGGCTATACCGGACTGGGATATACCGGAATCTTGGATATATCAGAATAATTTTCTGATTTGATTACTTTTTATATAGGAATACTGGATTTTTGGGCAAAACTAATATACCAGATACTTTTTTCACGAATCCAGTATAAATCTTGATAGGAGATTTGACTGAATAAGCTGAATTTTGGATAAGTAAACTTGATTGGCTATAATTATATAATATTTTTCGAAAATATTAAAGTTTGGAGCTAAAACCGGATATAAATTTTGATTATAAAACTTAAACCACCATTTTTTATACCGAAATCATAAATATACCGGATTTGATTGATCGAAAATTTCAGTCCGATATAACTAAGTTTATCTGTACTACCAGGTAGTAGAGTATACAGGCTTCTCGCTCTGGTTATATATATGAAAGATCTCTTCCCTGGTAAACGAGTCTTCATTATGATGCAATTAGTATCAAGTCGGGAAGGTGTTTCTCTACTGATACCTTTGCTTCTTTCTTTATTCGGAGACTGAGTACAAGGGCTTCAATTTTTGACAGTCGAGAGTTGAGAGTTCGGAAATGGGATGGGGATATTGTAAAGGTGTGAAGGTATGAGTAGTGATTAACGGGTATTGAGAATTGAGGGCTAGGGTTAGGGTTAGGGGTTTGGTTTAGGGTTAGATGGATAGGTGAATGAATGCATGGATACCTAGGTAGGATAGGATAGGATTGAGATTGAGATTGAGTAGAAGAGGAGGATAGAAGAGGAGAAACCTTGAGATTATAAAAGACTACCTAGGTAGCTGGAGGTATGTATTGCAAATTCCTCATTGGAATCAGGAATCAGGAATCAGGAATCGATTGAAGAGATGTCTATAATGAATTGTTTATTGTCTTTATCGATTATGGGATTATGGGATTATGGGATTATAGAGTAGAGGGAATTTCAGAGGAGATAATAGGATGGGAATGAGATGGTGATGTAATGGTATTAAGGATTACCTAGGTATCCATAGGGATAGTGGTGGTGAGATTGATGGAGGTGGAGTGGTGAGGTGAGATGATGAGATGAGATGAAGAGAAAGTATCTATTGAGAGTAGAAAATATTTCGATTGTTAATTTATTTAAATATAGATTATATATATCATGTTATATGAATTTTCTCGATTGGTTTTTTTATCCTGACTGTAGGTGTTAAGAAGATACTAGGAAGAAAGGTAGATAGTTACAATCATATAACCCCCCAACAGAAGAACAAAAAAAGTCGGGTGTATACTAGGTAGGTATATACAGGAAAGGAGAGGAATATTACTAGAGCTTAAATATACTAAATATCTTTCCACAGTCTGGAACCGGCGTTCTCCTGAATATAGAGAACTCTCCTGCTAGTATGTATTTCTCATTGATATTCCCATTCGAATTCGAATTTGAATTCTAACTCGACAATCGAAAATCGACAGTCAAAAATCAAAAATCAAAAATCACAATGATTCCTCCGATTTCAAAGCGTGAATGCTATCCCGAGTTACATATGTCGGAACAGAGCAATGCGTGCGCAAACGCAAATATCGGAAACTAACCAGCTATTTCAGGGGAATCCCCTGCGAGACTCTACTTGAGCTCTGTGAAAAGAATTCGAGGATTGTATTTCAATTTCAATTTCACATGGCATGCTGGTGAGGTTACTTATAGATTTCGCATAGCTTTAGCGGAAGAGATTGCTAACAATATTGTCTGTGTGGAGAAACTAGATATCTAGAGCTACTGCACCAGGCTTCCTGTGAATCATAGAAGGGATCTCTAGGTGAATAGCTGGGAGATAAACTTCCTCCGCATTCATTTAAGACGGAAGGAGTGCGAGATTTCCGCTGTAAGATGGTAGTCAAGATTGTCCTTCACATCAGATTCGATACATTTGCAACGAGTGTTGTTTTGAGGCTTTCGACAGCGTCGTCTTGTTTTATAGTTCTGTATTGTGTCGCTTCCAAAGGAAGGAAATCCGCGAAAGTTATGGAGCACAGTTGGTGAACACATATTTTACTACTTGCTAATTCTTCCTGGTCCATCTGACGCGTCAGAGTAAAGCGGGACTATTGAACTCATTGTCAAATGCCAAAAACCGTTGCGATATTTGCTGCATGTAAGAATTGGTCCTGAAATCGGAAATTTGGACAGGAGAATAGAGATCAACGGCACTGTTGGGAGAGATTTGCGCAGCGACATTCACCCAGAGGTAAGAGTTCTGGAACCTACTCACCGCACATGTAACATTTTTCTGGCTAAAATATACGATTATTCAGCTTTTTATACTCTGGTTTATTTATGAATATATTAAATAAAATTGAATATTGTATTATGGAAAGATTTAAAATTATTTAAATTGCTCAAAAAAATATCTCATTTATTTTTAAATATTTTTATAATAGTATTTTTGAAAAGTTAAAGTTGAAAATTCAAAAAAATTCGAAAAATTTGTTTATTTTATATAAGAAAAGTATTATAAGTTAAAAATTCTGAACTTTTTTAATTAAAAGCTTATATAATTTTTCAACAAAAATATTTAAAAATAAATTCGAAATTTATATATATAAATAATAATTCAAATTATTCATTACAAAGTTTTTATAAATTAATATCAATAATTGTATGAATTATATAAGATTTTAATTTATATAGGAAAATATGAATTTTGCAGGGATTATGTTACAAAACCTCACGCTGTGCGGTGAGTATGTTCGATAACTCTTAACATCGCGTTCCTAACAGAATAAGATCAATGGAAATTCATCAAACATGCGGACGCTTTCGAAATCACTGATTGAAACTAGATCATTACTCAATATAGCCTTATAGCCCTCCCATATTTATACTTCATATCATATACAAAAATGCACTAGCATATCTACAATTTTGCCTTGATTCCAGGGGCAAATGTAGTTCCTCCGCTCTCTCCACCAATAGCTTCCACAATCTTATCTACTGTGTTAAGAATCCAAGCATTTCCTTCCTCACCTGCTAACCATTCTCCTCCCTCTACAGGTTCTTCGCCTGCAGCCTTATATGTACCATCCTCAAACGCTTTTCGTAAACCAAATACGTGACTGGTGACCTGTGGGCCGACTCCAGTTTGTGCTCTTAAGCATGTTATACCAATCAGACTTGTGAGAACTCTTCCAATCTTTACTGGTCGTGAAGAGACAGAAGGATCGGTGAAGAGACTGGAATAAGAATTCAGGATAAAGACTGGAAGATCTGGATGCGATTCCGCAAGTTTATTGAGTAGTTTTGTTTCAAAGGGACGATAGATAGAATCCCATAGCCCGCGGCCTCGAGCTTTGGCATCATCAACATTTGCAGTTGTCAATTCACTGTGAATTGGTGATATATTAGCAGACATTGAGAGGCACATCGGGTGTCAATAGGCTTACCGAGACGGTGTTTTGTTCAACGAATTCATGATTTCATCTGGTAGATTTGCGCGGAATTGACCTAGAACATTGATTGTTCTGGGAATCTGAGGTGTATGTTAGGATCTGTTATAGCAATCTAGTATATAATAATGTCATCTCACGCCATTGAAACCTATACATTTTAATCCCACCTCCCTCATCTGCTCCACAGTTTTCACTGCATGCGCATGATCCTTATCCTTCGTCGCAAGTCGAAACAGTTCTAGCATTGAATCGGGGGAATTCATGGTCATAGTCGCAGCTGTCTGCCATTGAATGATATCAGTTTCCCAAGTTTATTCTTCGACGGTTGGTGGGAATCGATGTACCGAGATCGTTAGCCATGATGGCAGTCCAACATTGTTCGCGGACGCCTCCTCTTCAATCTTTTGGAAAACGGAGCGGATGTTTCTTGGTGCAGGAGCATAGCCTGGGCGAGCATAAGGTGCACTTATGAGAGCTTTCAGGGAGGGAGAAAGTTTCGACATAATGGCAGTGATGAGAATTGTTTGAGAAGGAAAATGAATTGCTCCATGAGATCACTTTGACGAAATACGTACTGGAGAAGGAGATAAATCAAGGGCCGAGATGAAGCTCTCGGTACTAGAATTATCGCCGATCTTTGGTGACGTACGACATAATTGTATAAATCACCTCAATACTCAAAACACATCTATTATTATTATTATTATTATTATTATTATTATTATTATTATTATTATTATTATTATTATTATTATTATTATTATTATTATTATTATTATTATTATTATTATTATTATTATTATTATTATTATTATTATTATTATTATTATTATTATTATTATTATTATTATTATTATTATTATTATTATTATTATTATTATTATTATTATTATTATTATTATTATTATTATTATTATTATTATTATTATTATTATTATTATTATTATTATTCAGTATATTTATAATAACAAGCATCGTAAATACGATTGAACCTCACATAAAACTGAATTTCCGAGCTGTAATTTGATCATCAAACGGTGTGCTTGACTTAGCCATAAAATCGCATCTGAAATCCATTCAATGTTCCATTGTGAATACTCTGTAACCGATCATTCCATCCCAGTTGATGTAGAATTTTGCCAGGCGTAGTGCTTGGTATACCAAAAATTCTCGTACAACCACAGCCTCTGCAGCAATTTACCTCAGAAATTGTATTTGAAATGAATGATTGGAATGTGCAGGTACCAGAAGTACCGAATTTACATCATGACAATGTTACTTCTAAAAAGCCTCACAAGCAAGCTGCATGCTTAAGTTGTCGACGCACCAAGACTCGTTGTGTTCGTGAACCTCCTAATATCAATTGTCAAAGATGTCGTCAGAACAATACGGAATGTCTGGTACCAGATTATCATATCGGAAGGCGAAAAGGGATCAAGAAGTAAGTCTTAGCCATACATTCCCAACTTGTTAAACATCTTCTAACCTCAATTCAGCAAACGGAGTGGATTAGATAAAGCTGTTCATCAGCTTGAAAAGGCCATGAAAAGCTCCAAGAATGATAATGTACCCCAGGATGAACAAAGACGTCTACAATTCCTTCTCTCCGAAGCCGAGAATCTGGTTTCTAGAAGTACTGACAAAATTTCCACGCAGCTTTTGGAGCAGCCAATCCCTCGAAATGACATGAACAGTGGGTCACCAGAAGCTACCGATCTATCATTATCCAGGGCTCATGAATCAATTGGTCAAATCGAGATGGGCAGTGTCGCTTTGGATGATGCTGAGAATCCACTGCAGCTCCTGGCTCGGGCATCAGATCTTGCAGATACCGCAACCAAACAACTGCATATGCCTCCTCCATTAGTAGAAACAGGAGAGCTTCGTCGATTCTTTGGACCATTTCAACCACGGCTTGACGTTGGAAGTGATATCGACCCTATCGATATTGGTTTGGTGACTCGGGAGGAAGTGACTCTGCTTATAAAATAGTGAGTCGCGCCTATATGGTACTGGGAGTTTCAATAGTCCGAACAGCAGTTGATCGGTGAGAAATGCGCAGTTCTTGAAATTGTTTAGAACACACTTCAGTCAGAATATTCAATTGATTGGAAGTATGGAATCCAAACAGCATTCTAAACATCGAAAGCTCTCAGATTATACCAAGTTTGCTCATCCGAACTATTGAAACTCCTTGAATTTGCCCCGGAAGGTTATGTCAATGTTGCTGATAAATTTAATAGTTTCTATGCAAATCTATCACATACAAGATGGGGCCTTGATCCTTCTGTTCATACGGCAGACTTTGTGCGCTCAAGATCTGCGTTTCTCATGACTTCCATGTTAGCTGCATCCGCGCTTTTCATTCCCTCAGGAGAGGCGCTATCGAAGCGTCTTTCTAAGCACAGTAAACACCTCGCTCACTATGTGATATCAAAGAGGTACAGATCACCAGAAATTGTTCTCGCATTCATGGTTAATATTCCATGGATGCTACCAGAAGAGCATTGGGCTGATGATGAGACTTGTTCTTACATGGCAATGGCGCACTCTATAGCCCTTGATGTATCTCTAAATAAGATCATCGTAAAGAATATCGACAATCTTCAAACCGCCATTCCAAAGTCAGAATGCATTACTGCAAGGAAGGCTCTCGACATGGACGGTTTTATTGAAGTTGACCCTATGACGCAGTGGGGCCAAAAGCTGATTCGCCGGCGTGAAAGAATATGGCTTGCTCTATTTAATCTTGATAGAGGGTAAGTCTCTCGCTTCGAAGTACCATTCAAACATGCTAAGATCATTCCACAGCGTGTGCTTGGCACGAGGAAGAGCTTTTACTGTTCAAATATCTCCCTTCGTTGCAACTTGTGACGCTTGGCATAATTCTAATCTCGCTGATACCTGGGATGGATCAATCGTAGCTTCATCTGTTTTACGGCGAGATATTGTATGTTATTCTTCAGAAGTTTGCATAAAGACTAATGATGTGATAGGCTAAAATTATTACTTGTATAAAAGATACTTGCGACAAGACTGTATCCACAGTATTAGAAGGCCATGACATTGCCCAGACTCTTCGACAAACAATCGATGACTTTTTCGATCACTGGTATTCAACCTGGACCCCAGAGATAGGAAGAAACAAAGACCTCCGCCTACCTCCTTATGTAGAAATCCTTGTCTCTCACACTCGTCTTGCTATATACAGTAACGTCCTTAATTACCCCACCCGATTCCCGGCAGTCTCTTCTTACTTTCGTTCTGCTGGTCTGTCATCTGCATTAAATGTTATGAGAGCTGCTGTCCAAGGAGAGCCACTTCTCAAGTCCATGCCCAATAATACAGCAATTATGGTATCATTTTCAGCATGTTTTGCGCTTCACTTGTCCGCGATGACTGCGAACAAGAACTCCGGCCTAAGAGAAAGCATCAAAGTCTTGATAGAGGAGACTGCAGATGTTTTGGAAAGTATAGGAAATATCACTCCCCATAGAAGAGGAAGTTCTGCTTTATACGGTAGACACCTGAAAGAAATCATTCGGAATTCCGCAGCATGGCGAAGATCTGCTCCATCTGATCTATCTGTTGTCAATTATGAACAAGTAGGACGCAATACTGCCCAAGAGGCGCAGGAACCAAGACTAGAGCCCGGTTTCATCGAGCCGCTTCAATTCTCTACCATGTCAGATCATCAGATTGTCGAATTATTCGACAATGAAGAAGTGACTCTAGGGATAAGTCCAACAAACTTACAGCTAGGTGACACAACCGGAATGGAATGGCTGGATTGGTTCGACTTTTATGGAACAGTTCAGAATCAATAGCATCTTCATAATAGGCTATGTGATTTTTCTGGAATGAATCACACTTGTTGTACAATATACACGAGATGAAGGGAGTAATGTGTCACCCTGTCTACAATCACATGAACCGAGAAATTGCTTCTTGGTTGAACCCTCCCCCCAAACTATTTCCAATCCAGCAATTCTAATCTTCCAAATTAGTTGGGACTTTTCTTTCTCAGGAACACTAATAAATCAGACTATTCTGATATCACAGGACCTTGAAGGAAGAAGAGAAATCCATCATATCACCACATCTCCCATGTCTCAATTCTTACAAACTAACAAAAACACGACGAATATCCACTCGCGACATCCAATCCGTGAAGCTGCCAATCAACACTCAGAATCGCTTACGCAAGTGATTCAGGGGCGGCGATCTAATCGCCATTGATTAGCGATAGAGGACGGAGAGGAAATATCTAGACACTTACTTTCTAGTGATCCAGTTTATCATGAGATGAACTGAACCCGGAGGAGATAATCACGAGTAATTTTCACCACGGGATTGCAGGAGGAAAATTTTGTAGATCCTGTTTCGGTCGGAGAATGTTCTGGTGGGTTTGGAGGGTAGATTTAGGATTATATTTTCTACTTACTCGTACATATTTCTGATACCAATGCAGCATAGATGCGGAAAAATCAGGGAGCTTTCTGAAATCGCTGGAGGGAGTTTAAACACTGTTTGATTGATGATCGTTTGGGATAGAAGTTGTGGATGGGAATCTTTTTCTCGGTGTTGAAGATATCGATTTATCTACCTAGTTATGTTACCGATTCATATACATGCATGTATAGATACTTCCAAGCAAATGAATCTATCTCCCTACAACTAAATCAAAATCCGGGATACAATATCTCATATTTCACATTTCATATACATATATATATATATATATATATATACATATACAAAATCATCCACTCACTCACTCCCACATCTCACCACAAAGTTCAAACAGAATCATCGAATACCTCCAGGCTAGATACTATACTCACTCGCGGTCCCCATGTATATCCAATCTTCCCTACCTCCCTAACTAACCCCTCCAATCCCGCCGTCCCACTGCCGTTTTGAAACCTATAATCGAAATCATGATAATATAATATAATATAGAGCAGCAGAAATGGGAAGAAAAGAGGGGAGAAGTATTCTGAAGGGGTCTCGAAGAAACTGAATGATTAGAATGGAAAAGCTAATTTGATCCTGATTCTTAGTCTAGATACCTAGGTGTATATATAGATATACATATATTTTCCATCCCATCCCATCCCATCCACCACATCTCCCCTCCCCCACACAAGAACTCCACATTCGAGATACGCACCTCAAAACCCCAGAAGATTCCTGTGCATGGAAAGAAAACACAGACCAATTCAACCGCGCCCGAGTAAATATCTATCTACACCCAAAAACTTTAGTAAAAGAAACCTCACAAAACCAACCATAAAAAACACACATTTCGCAGAAGAGAAAGAGAATCCACCATTATTCCCCTCTCAACTCCATACACACATATATCGTATTCACAAAACGCCCATTGATTAATAAATTATCATTACAACCCACTTGATTTCCATTGACGAACAACCTAGTATCTAAATAGCCTACTTCCCTTTTTACTATATGCGGAATAGCAGCATGTATTTACTCTGTGACTACCCCTTCAAACTATCCTTTTGATCTAAGATGATGTTCATCTCTCAATCTCCAACACGAGATGAAGAAATTGTAAACGCCAAACTCACTTAGTGCGCTCCCTATCCATATGATAAATATGATATGACCGACCCCTGATGCGATGCCGTGCGATGCCGATGAATTTCTCTAAATGAAGATAATGATGATGTTGATACAGGCGGTTCCCAATTTTTGTGTCCCTCCATTGGCAATAAATATTATCCCTCCGTCGAGATTTCCCCACCACTATTTCCACCATTGATATGCTGACTACAGCCATTATTCCCCTTCAACCTTCCATCAGTATCTACTTCCATCTCCATCTTCATAGCCTCTTCATTCTCCCTCATTAAATCTTCTTCCTGCATCCTTAACTCTCTTTCCTCTTCCGTTTCTTCTTTCGCCTCTCTCTCTCCCTCTCCCTCTACCTCTCCCTCACCCTCACCCTCACCATTAGCCATCTCCAGATCTTCCGATCCTGTCGTAGGCATCTCTTCCGCAGGCGGCGGCGGAGGAGGCGGAGGAGGTGTAGATGAATCTGTTGGTGTTGTACTCTCATTACCATCCTCCTTGACCCTCTTGCTTTCTGATGGACTTTCCTCGTCATCTTCCCTCTTCCTCTTCAACAACTCCATCTCGAGTTGTCCACTAGGTGATGCGGCTGGACTTGGTATATTGACTTCCACGTCCTCACTATCAATCACATCTGGACTGACAATCGAGTTTGCATTCTCTCGCGTTGTCCCCTTTTCGTTTGTGCCATTTCCATTAACTTTAGCCTGCCCTTCGCGCTTTTTCCTTTCCGCTCGCTTTGCATCCATTTCCCTTTTCTTTTCCACAGCCTTCTTAAAATAGTCGAACACATATTGCTTGACTTTCTTTTGATTCCTGTCGGATATCTTTGTGGGGTCCTCAATGCGATTATTTTTGAAATCAGAAGCCACGAGCTTTTTCCCACATTCCTTGGCGAATTTCTTAAGATCGTCCTTGGGAAGTTTGCCAGAATACTTTTGCATTACGTGTTTAATGTGAGGAAATAACTATAATGAGAGGTCAGGAAAGAATATTTGACAGACTTAACATGAAGAGAAACAAATATTTTGATAGAGAAGCTAGATATTATACATACAGTATTTTCGTATAGTTTCATCTGCTTCTCGATAGGTAACGAGCGCCATTTTTCTACAGGCTTCTTCTTTTCCTTGGGTGTACCCTCGGCGGAATGGGAAGAAAGTGCCGGAGTTGTCGAGGGCTCCTTTGTAATACTGTCGATGATATCTTGAAGAGCTTTCTGTGTTTGCACACTCTTTGGAGCTGCCTTGGGTGGTGGCGGCGGCGGTGTTACACCCGCTGGCATAAATGGCCTCTCCCATGTTGTTTGTCCCGTCTTACTATAATAATAAGCATTTCCGTTTTGATCCATCGCAGTAAACCAGCCAGGTGGTAATACCATGGGGACAAAAGGGCGCCGAGACATAGGGCGATTTGGGACGAAGTTGGCGTTGCGTTGAGGAACACCACTTCGGGGGCCAGTCGGGGCAACAATAACAGGGGATGGTGATGGAGTGACTTTCTCTACCTGGTCTGGACGCCGTTCGAATACTTGTGCAACAAGATTTGGGGCTCTTCTTGGGATTCGATACGCATGCTCTAACTTGCTCCATGCTTCCAATAGCCTCTTTGACTCGAAAGCAATGTCTTCATGCTCGGAAGTTGTGAAATCTTCTAAAACAGCTTCGATCTTGGAATCAACAATTTTGTTTCGAGTAAGTCGTGGAAATTTGTAAAGAATATCGAGAACTTGGAGGATCACGTTGTTGTCTTCCTTCCAAGTAGTCAAGGTCGTACGAAGAATTTGATAACCGTGCATTTGTATAACTCTGTTTCGAACTTTATCATCGTCGCAACGTTGGATTCGACCAAGCAATTTGACAGCAATCCATTTTTCTTTGCATTGCATAAGAGTTGCCATAACCTTTCGTACTCCATTTTCATCGAGACCCTTTGGTTGAACGTTGTTAACATATTCTTCGTCATTTTCACCCGTCTTCTTTTTCCGGGGTTTCTTGGCAACAGCTGTATCCCAACCATCACCATCATCGATACCAAGAGCTTCAATGGTAGCATGAGGAAGTTTGGTAGCACGCTCAGTTTGAGTCTTGCCTCCAATGAATCCGGTACAATTTGGTTCGCCGCAATAGCAAGGTTGAGGGTCGGCACCATATCGATCAACATTATAATTGAACACCAGCTCTTCTCCGGCTTTGATTGCACGCTCCGCAAAAATGCCCATGCGCAGCTTTTCTCCGACCACCCACTTATCGACATAGCAATTTGGATTACAAGAGTGATTGCAAAATCGACCTAGATTTCCTTTTTTGGTTGCATCCACAAATTCATGCTTCGTAAGAGACATGAAATAGAAATGCTTGATTCCTTCCTGATCATATTGGACGGTACGTCGTCGAAATGTCGGTTCATTGATAACTTCTCCGATATACTCGAAGATGAAATCATCAGGATGTAGATCAGTATTTGCGCGTAATCCGTAACCCTTTTTATCTGTCTTGATCACTGAAACTTTGGCATACTGTTTGCGTTGAAAGCGTTGATTTTGACAAGCCACACCACAATTGCAATCTTTATGACCTCCACCACATTCCATTTTGGTCAGTCGATTAATGCAATCTGAATCCTCTCCGCAGGCATGATTTTTTCCATCGCCTGATAAAACATGTCAGCTGAAGTGGACATTTTGCGACCGATGGCACGTAAAGTAAAGAAAGTGCTTGGAGTATATTTGTAGACTTACTGAATTCCTCGGGACAATCACAATCCAAAGCATCGTGATCTGAAGCTCCCATGTGCTTAGCTCCATAAATACAATCCTTGATTACCTGAAAAACTGAAGCTGCCTCTTCTGTAGAATCTGGAAGGTCGTTGAAGAGAGGGGGTGGTCGAGGAATTACTTTTTGTGACGACTTTCTCGACAGCTTTGGTGCTTTGCCAGGTTCGACGGTGACGGTAATATCACCGCCAATAATCTCTTCATCCTCTTCATCTCCGGATTTTGGTGTTTGGCTGGTGCTTTGCTTTCTGGGCGGTGTTTGAGAGCGAGAATTTACAAGACCCGGTGTACTGGAGTGAGACCTCTTGATTTCTGTAGGAGTAGAAATATATCCATTTAAGCCATTGGCAAAATCTTGAACCTCAATCCCCTCCTCAATCTTCATTTCACCAATCGCAGCATCTACAGCTTCTGGCTGGAGCTCCCGTATGTCATCCTCCATCGTGAGCAGGAGACGTCGTAAAGTTGTGGTGCGAATTACTTTGTTTTTGTGTGTTGGTGCGAAGGGGAAGCCGACCTATTTGTTAATGTGTTCGAAGCGGCCTTTTGTTCCCTTACTAGTGGTGGCAGACGTGAAGTACCCAACGACGGTAGAACACAACGCCGTATTATTGATATTGGTAGTTTCAAGACTTCCTTGACTTTGCAAGCAATTAATTCTTGATTGTTGCGCGCACACTTGAAAGTCAAGAAAGTGGTTGCGCCTGGATGGCAAAACGCGAATAGCTTGCATGCAAGGTCGCGAAATATTAGCTGGCGAGGTCGATATTGCTTCGCAGACTTAAATATGGTCGAGTTTCTGCTGAGAAGAGCATAAATATCTTGTTTGCCACGGTGAATGAATGTGGAACGTGGAAAAGTTGGACGGCAGGATGGATTGAGATTGGAGCGAAGTAATGGAAATGCGACGGCTGAACCTCCAATTTCACCTCTGCAACATATTGCAAAGACCAAACTCTTAATTTCCTCTATCCCAATGCTCACATATCACTACTCATGAATTGAAATGGCTTTCAGCCCCCAAAGTAGTTGATAATTGCTAATAATTGCTCTATGAAGGAGGACGACGATACAAATTGAGACGAGCAATTGCGCGCTCGGCTAACCTTAATTCCGCTACTTCTGAAAGAACGCTGAAAATCAAACTACCTAGTATTCTCCTTAACCCACGCAGACAATTGATAACTACTCCAATCTGCTAAATCATTTCGATCGATTGATACCGCGTATTCTATGCCCCAAACTATCCAAACATGGTCATGCCCTCACACCTTACCAAATGTATGGTATGATAATATAAAACAGCTTATCTGCTAAATTCAACGCCAGCTCAGATGATGCCAAATCGTCAGCGTCGCCACGAAACTTTACCAAACCCTCCTAGGCACTCATCACAATATGTGTATATCGTATTTGGTATCACGTCCTTCAAAGACCATTATGGGCCACCTTCCCGTGTGCCCATTGCATAGTCCTTAGCCCTCCTCAATTTCCATTATTTGTAGTATGACATCGAACGTAGAGGTAGAGTGTATCGAGTTTGTGGATTGGCAAATGTGCCGCCAGATGTTCATTCTTCGATAGCATCCATTCACTCATGTATTGCTGCAGCAGTATAAGTTCAAATTGTATAAATGCATAGTTGATCATGCAACAGCGTATCCCAGATTCTTATGTTCTACCCCACAAAGATCTCCGACATAGGGCTTGCAGTCATATATCGGACGGAAGGGATATTATCGCGATTTTATAGCATCATCGTATCTGTGATTGTTTGTCAGTGGTGGTCAAGACGAGAGAGAGACAAAAATAACAGGCCATCTTTCATACCTAGGTATCCAGGTACCTCGTGCATTATTGACAGCGCATTCCTGCATGCGCCAAAAAACATGAACCCTACAGAGAATCCGAGTTATATGGGAGCATCACTTCCCTTGGAGAAATCAATATCATCGTTTCTATGCCAATGAAATATGGGATTGGAATATTTTGACGCTTTCGTTTTAAGTTGAGATGATTCGTTTAACGTCAAAAGAAAAGAAGAAGAGAGACAGAGGTACAATCAATGGGTCGCATATTTGGCCTCGGAAGAACAGCCATTCAAAGCATCGGACCCCTCCAAAACCAATCAATTCAGCATTCTCGAATACTTTTGAAGATACCTCATCAATGAATGATACTCGAGGGGAAAGACTGTTTGGAAGGTTGGGAATAAAAAGGCTATGTATACGAATGACGAGGTCGCAGAACCCACAGCCTTATCAAGTCGTTGTAGTAATAAATGGTTGGGTTGTGCTGGATTTCATCGATTCCACTAGGTTGTTCCAGCTTATCATTGGCGGTTGATGAATTCCTTTTGAGCCAATCTCAGGGTAGAATAGAATGAGTTCCAGGAAGCTGCAAGGACAGTTTGAACGATAGTTGGTATCCAATAGTAGATCCAGAATCCCTTCCCTAGTGAGATATCTGGGAACATTTCGTTTGTTTTCAGACCTCTGCAACGATAAGATGAGATGTAATAGATTTCTTGTTTTTACACCAGTACATACCTGGGTAGTCGGGATAGGTAGATGGGTAATCTTGGAAGAATTGAACTGCAGAATCCCAAGGGAATAGCATCTGATATACTTATTACCTCGTACCTACCTAGGATTATACCTACTACTTCCATGATGAGATAAATTCAAACCAGACTTTTGGACATGCAGTGCAGTGCATTATGGCGAAGATGAAGAAAGGAAGGAAGACGTCGGGAATGGATGAAGGGCACCTGGGCATTCAAGGTTGCTTGATAGCGGTAGGTACCTACCTAGTAGGTAGGTATAGAAAACAGAAAACAGACCACCTGGGCATCCAAATAGATAAGAGCTCCAGAGAAATTAGCCACTTTTAAGTTATCAGCCACTTTATCAGCCACTCCAGCTCCAGCTTTATCCTTTATCCATGGATCCCGAGGTCCACTTGAAATCTCTCAGATCTCCGAACCTTGGAATTCAGAATTCAGAAATTCGTTTCTTATTTCTCACCTCACTTCAGCTACCTACCTAGGTAGATCCTCACTCTCACTCCTCTCCTTCACTCAAATCATGCATCACTTTTACTTCCTCCCCTTCTCCGCTTCTTTTTATCCTAACATCTTGCATTGCACAGCGCATTAGCTGGTATCAATACATCCAGTTAAAAGTCCTAGAGGGAAACGGGACTTGCATATCTGCACAACATACTCCCCTCCCATGTTGTTTATTCTTTTCCTGAAACAATTGGAACCTAGGAAAAATACCAAAATCCATTCAGAAATGAAGGAGAAGAAAGGCACAGAAAAGAGGGTGAAAACTTATTCTCACGTCGTCTCTTGTTTACCCATCTCTCCCACCTGTCTGGTCTGGACTCACTCCTTCCTCTATATACTCTCTGCTCTCTACTCTGTGCTCTGTACTCTGTACTCTCGTCTACATTCATCATCCATTGTACATCTACTTGGAATGCTCCAGATGAAATCAAAATTTAATCCATCTTTTTACGGCTGACAGCCGCTCGTACACTATCGACCAAGGTACATACATACATACACACATACATACATACACACACACACATATACAGACAGATACAGATAAACCTCGTGGTGTGAATAGTGGCGGTCTCGTTGATGGTTGTTGTTCATTGTTGCAAACCCAAAACAACCCCCAAAACTCCAAACAATTTATCCTTTCTTGCCTTTCCTTTTTCTGCACGCGCTTCCTTCAACGACCTGCTCCTCCTCTTCAAGGTTCCTTCCAAAATACGCGGGTCGCGGGCCTCTTATCGCTCTCGTCGCTTTTCTACCTTTCATTTTTCAATTGTACATTGATTTTGCTACACAATCTATACCTAACCCTTGGAACGCTTCGATTCCTCTCAATTGCTCACCCGCATTCACTCTTTTCAGACAGGTGAATAAGGAGGATTCCTTCCTACCGCAATAGTACTCAATGTCCAATACTTAATTATTAATAAATGACTTCTTGATCTATTTTATTTGTCAATTTTTCTTTTGCACGTTCACTCGCTCAACACACCATCTTTTGGGAATTCTTCTCGAGGCATTAACTGAACATAATACTACACGTCGATCATAAGCATCTAGCTTTTCAACCATTGTCCATACCTCACTTCTATCCTTCGCAACAATCATGGAGTTGCCATTTACAGAACAAGAACAGGTATGTTTGCGCAAGAATCCAAAAATGATCACTGCAAACTGAGATCAACGCAATCTTCGCATCCGCAACATTGCCAAGAGCGCCTTAGACTGACTTTCAATCGTCGTTATAATAGCGGTTCCTTCTTGCAGAGGTGATTAAGACAAGTTCCATTCCGCCAGAAAAGTTGTTGGCAATCCTGAATGAAAGCAACGTCAACCCAAATTGGATGCTAATGCAGGTTCCCCAAGGTAAGCGCGTTTACCCCAGCTTGATCTCCAGCTCTCAGACCCCATAATCCCGCGCGACATATATGAACAACTCACAAGCGCCGACACACGTTAATGGGAAAAAATGTTGATTGGAGATTTTAGGACGAAACTTGGCATCTTGTATACATACTTTTGATAGTATCGCTGGTCGAACTTACAATAGTTTGACACCGCAACTACCCTCCGCTTCATTATTTTCCAGCGACTCTCCTGGCTTCCAGAACAAACGCAAGTCTGTTTCCGATCTTGAATTGACGGCTCCCGACTCTTCTCGAAAGCGACGGACTCCAGGTTTAGATGTTACTTCTATTCAGCGCAGCATTCAGCCCAAGCCGGCTCCAAATGGCTCGTCAAACTCGTTCTCCCCGCAATTTGCAGGCCAAATACCGAAAAAGCGTGGTCGCCCTTCTAAGACCGATCTCAAGATTCGACAGGCTGAAGAAATCGCGCGTGGAGAGCGAATAGATTCACTCGCAACTTCCAAGGGGCCCATCGAGTCTCCCATGGCTAGTGGTGGAGATATCACCTTAGAAAGCATTTTGTCTTCTGCACCCATTGCTACCCTAGCTCAAAAGTCGGAGCCAAGTGCAGTCAATTCTACTGGTGATAAAATGGAATCCAGTAGGAAGAGGCGTGGTCGACCAACCTCAAGGTCTTCAAACGTATGTTGACTTGAAAACGTGTGTGAGTTACTGTGTGCTGACTCTTGTAAAGGTCCCTAGGACAGGCGAAGGCAGCTTCCCCATTCTCCCAGCCCAATTTCCGCAACAAATTCAAACACCTCCAGGATTTGGTACTCACCAGACATTTGATAGATCTATGAGAGCCCAGTTCCAAGCAGAGCCTCGTGAAGCTCAAATTACTCGAGATAACCAAGGCCAAGGGACGCAATTTAACGCGCAGAGCAATGTTGAAGGACGCCAAATGCATGCTAGTGGCCAAGCAAACCATAAAGAACAGCAGGAAATGCAATACAAAGGCACAGATATGGTGGGAAACCCCAAGGACAATTAAAGATCTGACATTTAAGTTCGTCTCTGTCACACCTCTTGGCCAATTATGAGTAATCTTTAAGCGTCCATCCTACATATGTCAACACATACCAAACTTCTTTCACAAGAAACATCAATTTATAATCCACCTCTTTCGATACTTTCACCCGACAAAATACAACATATTTCTCGGTTCATGCCCTTAACGAAGTCATACCTTTTTTCTACAACATCTGTCGATGCCTCACAATCAAATGTAATGCCACTTATCCCAACGATTTTCTTTTCTTTCTTTACTTTTTATTTCATTTCTTTATGCTACGACACCATGTTTGTAATGAAACTTGGAGTGGCAGCACTAAAATTGTTCTCCTCTTCGTTTTTCTGTTATTTGACAATAAATGCTACCGCGCGGTGATATACCAAGCCTATTCTTTATTTCTTTGCATCACAAGTGGGCATTGAATTGTATGATGTGCATTGGACATACACATTGGAGGGAAATGAGAAGATAAGCTCTAAGAATCTCTAAAATCTGAAGAATAGTGGAAAGGGTTGGCTAGGAGCGAATAAATATGCCACGTGGCGGAGGGATCACCAAACTACAATGCGAATAATGAAGAACGAACGGCCGTTATGTGTAAGATACCTAGTTAACGAATGATTGTACTATATTTCGAATGTTTCGATGCTATTTGGGGTTTATTGTGTGTATATCGGGGAGTATCCCAATACTTTGCACTAGTGATGTCGATATCCGTATGGAATATTCAATTTGGTATTGCGATGCTACCTATCTTCCATCGCTGATGCTATCATTGTATTCTCATAAAACCGATCATGTCCTCCCTCATATTCACTCCCATATATACAGACAGCTTCTCATATCGTCATCCCTATTATCCCTATCATCTCTCACTACTATTTAACCATGTTGATCATCAAAAACAAACATGACGTACTTGAGTATAATTCTCTTTCTGAACTCATCCGCTAACTCCAACTCACCATTTTTTTGCTACACTTTCATTTCATTTCACTATTCACATCATACCACACCACAAAAAGGCAACAGATTTTTACATCTTCACATCACCCCGCACCGCACTGCACCCAAACAAAATTGAGCGAGGGCGAAATTTCGTCCCTCGTCATATCTCTGTATTCATCCTCGTACTCATCATCCTCATACTATTCTATCTAGATCATATGCATCTGCAAAAACCTGCGTGCCCATTTCATCTCATCTTCACCGCGCGATTAACGCAGTTGGTGATCCAACCTGAAAACTCCAAGCACATTTTACCCAGGCTAAGTTACATATCAATCCGTATCCAATGCAAAAACCAAATTTCAAAAAAAAATCAAAATCAAAAAATCAAAATCAAAAAATCAAAAGAGGTTAAAAAAAAGTCAAAAACAATGTCGTGAGAAAGCAAAGTTCCTTTTGTCATCGCTTCGTGTGCTCATTTCCAAAGGAGAAAAAGGTGAGACAGCGACACCTAGCGGAAAACTAGGATTTGAAAATCTTCTCAAGACCTTCCAACAGGATGTTGGCGTGGTGTTCTTGGAAAATCAACATGGGTCTGAGACGAACGGCTCGCTCGCCAGAACCTCCAATGTTGATACCGACACTCTTGGCCTTCTTGAGGACCTCATCTCTGCGGTCGCTGTCAAAGGCAAGGAAAGTTCCTTGTCCTTTGCCTCTCAAGTTTTGGATCTCTCCTGGATATTGCTTGGCAAGACGTTCGAGCTCTCCGTAGAGATAATCTCCAACCTTGGCGGTGTTGTTAACCAAATCCAAACGTTCGATTTCCTCAATGATGGCCCGGAAAAGGATGGCACGAGCTGGGTCTCCCATCCAGGTGTTGAATTGACGGTATGGTTTGTTGGGACGGAGCTCTGGGTTTCCGAAGTAGTAACCGGCGGTTTGGGCCTTCTTGGAGAAGGTGACCATGTCGGGAGGAGTGTCGAGGTTCCAATGTTCGTGGGCCCAGAATTTACCGGTGGCGCCGACACCAGTTTGAACTTCGTCGACGATGAGGAGGACGTTGTGTTTTTTGGTGAGGGCCCTGAGACCGCGGAAGAAGGCGGGTGAGGCGTGGTTGTCTCCTCCTTCGGATTGAATGGGTTCGACTACGACGGCACAAGGTGGGAGGTGGTGAGTGGTGATGATACGTTCAACATCGGCAAGAGCTTCTTCCTCGATCTTCTGGTTCTCCACGACATGATCCTCGAGTGGGTATTTGAGAAGGGGGAAAGTAGCTTGTGGCCAATCGAAAGCAGGAATATCGAGCTTGTGAATTGGCTTACTGCGAGTGGTGGAAAGGGAACCGAAAAGACGTCCATGGAAGGCAGTCTTGAAGGACATGATAGACAATTGGGGAGCACCTGGTGCTTGGTTAAGCATAGATGAAGCAATATCTTCCTCTGAGAATTCCACATGTGCACCACCACGCTCTTGTTGTCGACGATACATAAATGCAGCCTTGTATGCAGTCTCATTGGCATCCGAACCCGCCATGGCAGTGAACACCTGATCGAGACCCTTTGGTGCTACCTTCAGGATACCCGTCTTGATAATATCGGCCCAATCGTGCGAAGGGAAATTGCCAAGGGCAGGACGGTTAATGATGGCAGATGCCATTTGTTCGGATTGTGCGGCTTCGAGGAGATGAGGATTGCTGTAACCAACTGGAATGGATGCAATTTGGGCATAACTATTATTCTGACATCAGTATATTGTGGGAAATCATTACAAGAACGGGCAATGATAACATACACGTCCAACAAAACGTTTCCATCTGGATCCGAAATGTAGTTACCCAAACTCTTTTGATAATTGGCAAGCATGTTCAAACTTCTAGTATCAAACACTTTATCCAATTCTGCAATTGCCTTTTGGGATTCTGGGCCTGGAATGGCAGTTTTGACATGTGGTCTCTCTGGCTCACCAGTGAAGAATGGTTTGACACTCGTAGTGGCGTATGTTCGTGCAGCTCGTGGAAGGGCCCTTGAAGCCATGGGAGGCAATCGGGCGGCAGCTCTTAGGGAAGCCATTATTTGTGCGATGATGAGAAAGAGGGGAGATTGGCGAAAGAGAAGAAGAACAAGAAATGGAAGGAAGAGAGGGAGAGGGGAGAATAGGAAATGAGAGCTAGAGAAGGAGATTTGTATCTTTTGTAGTATTTCTTACCTAGCTCGCTCTCCTCTCCTCGCCGCTGCAGGTGAGTGGGGTCAGGAATGAACTTCGGGTTGTTTTATAACCTTGCTAACCTTGCTGGACTTATCTTATCCGACTTATCGTGATTCGTGAGTGATTCGTGACGTGAAACTGTAACTAAAACCGGGGATTGTAAGGATTGGAAAGAGGGGCTCGAGGGAGGAGGCCCAGGAGGGAGATCCCCAGTGGTGGCTAATATGTGTGTATCGATTGAAATTACATAAGAGGAGAGTAAGTGAATTGATGGAAGAGCAATGATTGGCTTGATAATCATTCACATTCGTGGGTTGACTAACTTCAATGAGTACAGAGCATGCGATACTTTCTGAAGGCGACAGCAAAAAAAGCTACGACGACGACGACGACAGTATATATAGCTTAGGACTTAATACTCAGCACTCAGTACTTAGCACTTGATGCACCATTCTACTTTTCACCTAGGATTTTACAGATTTACTACCTACGTACTATCCTTACTTATTAGCAATCAACGAGAGCCAAAATCCAGTATCAATCAATCAATCATTTTTCCTAACAGAGGCCGGCGAGTCAGCCAGCATATCAACCCTGATATCAACCCATTTAAGCTTTTTAAGGGTCAAAGACCACTTTGATTGGGGAATCCATAAGATAACATCAACATCAACAACAACATCCATCTATTACTAAATTCAATTGGGAAAGTCCATCCTAAGCATTGTTAGCCAATCGATACGAGTACACTTGACCAAATTAGCCGTCGTCTTCATTCCACCAGTATCACCATTGTGCTTCTCTCTTCCACTCTCCTTGATTCTTGATCCCTCCCATAAGTATACGCGACGATGAGCTTCAAAATCGCATTCCCTTGCCTCCGTATGTATTGTCTATTCTCTGTTCTATCATTCTCGGTTCTCTTTTCTTATCGTGTGAGTTGTCCATTTGGCGGTTACAATCGGCTTTTCGCGGGAGATCATTTTGGTTTCTCTGGTTTTGGTTGAGGATATTGAATGCCCTGTGTCAGAACGTATCAGATTCAAAGTCAGAATGATATTAAATGGCGATGACAGATATAACGGAGAAAGAATGCGACTGGTATTGATTGCTTTGAAGAAGTGTCGCTAAAAGATAATCAAATCATGAAATTTTGAAGTTCAGATATATTTGGAAGATATATTGCGAGGCTTCAATTATCAGAGAACGTTCTTTAGTATATTTCGACATTGAACGAGCACACTAAAAGGATTTACTCTCGGTGGAACTTGATTATTCGGACTCAAGATTACGGGATCTGAATGCATAGTATATGGCCGTTGAATGTTAACGTGGAGCAAATCGCTTCCTGCAAGTTAAGGGGATTTTTGAATTCAGGAGCACAGTGCAAAAAACTTTATTTTTATTTTTGTTTTTGTTTTTGCTTTTGTTATTATTGTTATTAAGAACCTTAGACTTTGAAACACAGTGAGATATTTTATAGGTTTTTACTTTGTCCCTCTGTAGTTTGACGGATGAATCTATATCTTAAGTGACGTTTGATGGCGGATTCTTCCCGGGAAACGGGGACAGTTGGTATCTTTGGAGAGCATTATAGACACCGACATCTCTTTGCCTCCAATCCACCCCTCGCGTATATATCATCAATAATCTATTCCCCTGCCATCTCCGCCTCCCTCCGACTCTCCCCCCCCAAGCTCGCTAATAACAACTGTCTCTACTGGCGCCACCATCTCAGTCACCGGTGGTGCACAAGCCGGTTGTTTACTAATCTCAGCAGCTACTCCACCGACCTGGCAATCTGGCTTGTTACCCACACGTCTTGCTTCGAAGGCATATGATGGAGATTTCTCACTGCCTCTAGCTGCTGAAGTCCAGCTTGTATGTGGGCCCGAGTCTGGGTTTGGAGAGGCGTAGGATGCTACTTGGATTTCTGGATGTGAGTTTGATGATGGCTGTGGTATATTGATGGCTGAAGAAGATCCGCGCCGTCGCCAGAGAAGAAGAAAAATTGTGAGAAGTGATACAACGAGTAGTGTTGCACCTACTGCTATTCCGATGACGATGCCTGTGGGAAGAGTGTGATGGGCGGTTGCTGCCGAGGAGGATGATGTAGCAATAGCCGATATGGTGCTGGTTGATGTTGATGTTGATGATGTTGTGCTCGTTGTGCTTGTTGAGGTAGATGGTGCTGTACTTGTTTGTGGGGCCAGTGAGCTCATAGAAGATACGACAGTTACGTACTGCGTGATAGTAGGCGATCCGGGGTTTGAAAACGAACTCCCCCAATAGTATGTATCGGTCACGATTATGATGTCGCCAGGCGTCGTTACATCGTTACAATATATTACCTCAAGCTCATCATATGCATCAAAAACATACGTGTTACAGTATGGCCAGGCGGAGTCAGTACTGGATCAACCCGTGTTAAAGGAATGCTCAATATTTACATAGGTAGTGTTGGAACTCACCAATAAGATGCACCAATTGATTCTATGTAG